GATAAAAACATTCAGCTTTGCCAGAAGATGTTAAATTAAGATCACAGGGATGTCAAAGGGTGGAAAATAAAATGTAAAATAACTAACTATAGATGCAGTGGGGTTAAATGCATAAGTTTACCTCTGTTCCTTCTTTGTATTTCTCTTAACCAATAGTTCATGGAGTAAAAAGCCAAACACAAGCAAGCAAACAAAACAAATCATAAGCATGAAACTGAAGAAGAAAGGAGATAACAACAGACCAGAGAAATCAACAAAATTGAGGAGAACTGGAAAAAAAAACATGGACCTAGAAAATTCACTTAGAATGTTGGATAAAGATGAAAGGTATGCACACTGAAAGATCAGAGACAAGCCAAACACACACACACACACACACACACACACACACACACAAATACACACACAATTCCAATTTATATTGAAGAACAACTCCAAAAGTGTCAGGAATTGGAAGTACAAGGTCTCTCTGAAGGTAGAGGTATAGGAGGGCTGAAAAAAAGGGGTTCCCTTTAAAGCTGGTTTGAGAAGCAGCAGTCAGAGGCTGCAAGGCCCCTCCCACCCCTCACTTCAACCAGATTCTGCAGATTTGCTTTGCAGAGAGGTTGAATTAAAGGCCTCCAGACTCAAAAGGTAGGGATAGGGATCAAAAGTCTACATGTTGAAATCCAGAGCTCAAGCTGCATTCCACAGCTCAGTCTGGGTTTGTTCACATGTACCTTATTATTCTACAGACGGAAAATTGGAGTAGTCTCTTCAAAGGAGACAGATATATTGAAAACAAAGCAAATCTACAGATACCATTATTCCCTGAGAAAACAGGTCCCTGCTGCTCACCCTACAAAGAGACTCATTGGTTAATAAGTAGCACTTGAGAACCAAGCTCACAATAAGTTTTCATGAAAGTGCCTTATGAGCAGGAAACTTAATTATTACCTGGCATGGGAGGGAAGCCTCCATTATGAAAAACACTGAAACAGAAAAAGGACTGAGAAAAAAACAAAAATGTAGGGAATAAAATAAAACACTTAAAAATTTTAGAGGCGTAAAGATATAATATTGCAACCCCAAAGCAAGAAAAAAAGTTTTTATTTAAAAAGTAATACTAAAAGACCAAAATAATAACTCTTAAAATTGGAAGAGAGATAAAATTTAAGAAATTTACATTAGTATAGGAAAAAGACAGAGAAAAAAGATAAAAATATAATAATAATAGATTTCTATTAACAGGAAAGAGAAAATTATCAGATACATAATATGAAATAATAGGCCTACCAAGTACTCCACACAATAAAGACTCACACCAAATCATTAAGAAATTTCAAAGCATAGCTAGAAAAATACAATCCTTAAGTTTTCAGGCAAATAAAATCATATGGAAAGGATTAGAAATAAGAATGTCTTTGAATTTCTCAATAGCTTCATGGAATCTAACAAACAATAGAAAAATGCTTTCCAATTCTAAGAGAAAATAATTTTTCTATATTCAGTAAAATTGTCAGTCAACAATGAGGAGAGAAAAAAAACAAAACAAAACCAACCTTTTCAAATATGCAAATTCTTAAAGATATACAGATTAACCTATCCACATTGAATCAGGAGCCTTGTGAGCTTCAGGGAAATAATAATAATAATAACAACAACAACAACAACAGTAATAATAAAATATGGTATGTTTAAATATATCAGGACAGATTCTTACTTCTTTGGGGGAATTTAGAGACCAATAACAATAAGTAATTTTAAACTTCAGGGAAAGCAAAAATTGGTACAAGAATTTTAACCATACAATAGCACAGTTATGAATAATTATAATGAGATAAATACTTGAGTACAGATTTAACTAAAATATTCGAAATAATTGTGCTGATGGATGAGGCTGGAAAAGTTTATGAGCATGTAGAAGTGAGTGCTATGTAAGAGAGGTAAATTCTCTTCCTCTATGGTAGGAAGTTAACAGATAATATCTAAAACTAAAAGGGTTAGAGATAGCTAGCCTAGCATTGCTATTTAGAAATATAAAGATACAGGAGTCAAGACTCATTGCTTTCTGGGGAGAATAAGCTGAGGTATGGAGAAATGCAACAAAGAATTTCTGGTTTTCATTATACACTTTGTAGAACAATTGAATTTTTATGATGAAATAACTCTTATTTTGATAAAAAAATTAAAATTAAATTACAAAAAGAAACACTAAGAGTAAATGGAGAATTTCTAGTGCAAGTGTGCTTTGAGTTCATTCGTGTATTTCCACTACCAATCTCCAAGACTCCAAACAAGTATAAACAATAAAAATAAAAATAAACACCAGGAACAAGGATAAACAACAAAAACAAACAGAAAAGAGCTAAAAGGGCTGGGGATGTAGTTCAGTGGCCGAACACTTGCCCAGAATGTGCAAAGTCCTGGATTCAATCCTCAGTATCACGGAAATAATAACAAAAAAACTACAAAAAGTTGTCATTCAATGTATGGTCTGGAACTTACAAAAGAGGTTGAAGTAGGAGACATAAACTTTGAGAGTCATCTTTTAATTGGTGATAAATTAATCCACTAAAGCGAATGAACTCATTTTATGGTGAGTGATGAGTGAGAAGGGATTGTGCCTTTCTGCTAGAAAAAGACTTCCCTGAACTGGGATGGGGCAGGTGAATGGGCAGGGACTATGATCTATCACAGGTCTCATCTGGTGAGAAACTAGAACTCCAAGGGGACCACTTAGATAGGGTTGCACCTCTGAAGTAGTGTTTAAAGCAAATTATAGTCTCTGTTGGAAGGTGGTCTGTGTCAAACTGCTGCTTACAGGAGGGAGACAAGACTACAGCCACCTCCATACAAGGTCCAGGCCCAGTGTCCTCTGCAAGATCTACAAAAACTATCAGTTAAGACCTGGTACTGAACTGAATAGTCATGTGAATCCAACAATCAGAGATACAGTAAAATTGAAGAGCATATACAGTCTCCAACCCATAATGCCACAGGATTAGAAGATGCTACAACTTCTCCCCTCATATAAAATATGCCTCAAGGTCGACCACCCCAGCCTGTAATTCCACGGGGATTCAGTCTCTTTTTGTCTTCTTCTTCTACTATTAATATTCTACTTCCATCTTTAATGTCGTCCTATGAGTGCTATATGGCCATTATTTCTGCCAAGCAGAGAAAAGGAGAGAGAACTATGAAGTTTCTCTCATCAAGAGTTATCCTCTTCTGGGCTGGGGATGTGGCTCAAGTGGTAGTGTGCTCACCTAGCATGCGTGAGGCACTGGGTTTGATTCTCAGCACCACATAAAAATAAAATATTGTGTCCACCTAAAACTAAAAAATAAATATTTTTTAAAAGAGTTATCCTCTTTTTAAGGTTTTTCAGAGGCCTCTTCTAGCAACTTCCACTCAAGTACACAGAACTCGGCCACATGGGCATTCTTCTCAGCCCAGGACCACAACTTTTCTACTGAGTACTTTACTACTCCCAACAAAACTTAGGTGCTGATATTGAGAACAAAGGAGGGAATGAATAAGTGGGCCATCAGCAGTGTCTGTCACAAATAGTATCTTGATAAACCAGTAAAAATGAGAAAATGAAACAATGGAAAAACAGAAAAGATAAAAGGGAAAATCATGTTTATAAGTGCTAAACTAAACTGAATTCTGCTATTAAAAGATAACCTCGTAGCTACTCAGGCATGAGATTGAAAATTCAAGGCCAGCCTGAGGAACCTTTCTCAAAATGAAATAAACTCATTTAAAATGAAATTAAAAGAGCTGGGTGTGTAGCTCAGTGGTAGAGCCCTTGGAAAGCATATGCTGGGTCCTGGGGCTTAATTTCAGTATCCTGCTACACACACACACTGTTGGACTAATTAAATGAAAAATTAAAACCACTGTAAAACACAGTTCAATAGAAATTATTTAAAATGCTGAACTCAAGCAACACCTGTCCTTTCCCCAGTTTCTTCATCTTATTCTTCAATGGTAAACAGAGTTCAGAGCCAATGATGATGGTGGTACTGCCTGTCCTCTGTCCAGGTGGTTGGCCCCACCCAGTGGGCCCTTGTAGACCTGCCTAGCACCAGGCAGGGTCAGAAGACCAGTTACAATTTGGGGAGCCTGAGTTTGTGACGGTGACCAAACTCCTGAGCAAAAAGGAGCAGGACCTGAGGGAGATCCAGCACTTGCTGCAGGATGAGAACGAAGATTTCAAAGAAACTTGCAGAGAATGAAAATAACATGTCAAAAAGAATAAAACATTAGATTATCTTACTTTGGGTTCCCTCAGAAGAAACAGATGAAAATGATTTGATCCTGGAGGAACTGAGGAGTTGGGGGGTCAGGAGGAAATGTTCTTTACCTCAGAGATGTTTGTTATGTATCATCAATATGCTGCATTGGAAAGATGTCATTCTGAAATCCTAGAATACTTTCCAAGTGAAACAGGCACCCTTACAACTGCCAGCACTGGAGTTTCAGAAGTCTATAAATACATGAAATTTCAAAGAGTGCTGCACAGAGTACAGGGTGCCAAAGACAGCACCATGACAGCAGCAATACTGCCCTGACCTACTAAAATTAACCTGGTGATTAATCCTAAAGATATGAGGACTGATACTAAGTGAGTCAATGGAGCTGGGATCAGCAAGGAAATATAATGGACAATGCTGTCTGGACAGTTCCTTTTCTAAAAGGTGTTGTTTTTGATGTCAACAAGGAATCGTAACAGAAAAAAATAGAGATGGCTATGAAAGTTACATGCAAAACAGTACATCATGCTTCTGGAGGAAGAAATAGGTAAAAGGAAGAACCCTAGGAAGATTCAGGTTGAAACTTAAGACAGGTCAGAGAAAATAATGTAATTTTCCACAGAATCATAGAATAAACAAATCACTGCAGTCTTGGAAGTTTTTATGCAAAGAGATTATATACTGCATGAATTTATACAGTCATCAAAGGACTATCTGATAATGATTCTTTAGTAGAAGTTATTTCCAAAACAGTTTAGGTTGATTTGTTATTAAAGCATTTTATTAGCTTATAAAAATTCTATAGCAAATCACATTGTGCAAGTATTCACCAGTATTCTCTTGAAAAATTAGTCAACATATTTGGAAGTAATATGCATATTCTTAAGATTGTAGATTATTACTGTAAATATCTCAGTGTATTAGTAAAACATACAATATAATCATGACTGATGTCATAAATTTGGACTCCTCTGTACAAGAACTAGACAAAGAAAAATAGTCATTTGTTTTTATGTAAAACATATAATGGGTGATCAAAAACTTGTATAACTCTTTTAAAAACCTTCAAATAGAAAATAGTAGAAATGACATTAACTCTCATATTAGTCAGAAGACACAAGCATATTATTAATTTGAGTGATAATGGAATTAAATAAGAGAGGATAACAGAGAATTCTATTATACTGAAAGACAGTACCCTAGGACTGAGAATGAGTACTCAAAGAAAGAACATCCTTGTAAAAGGTTCTCCTTCCTTATGATGAAGTCAGGTCTATCAGATGGTATGGCTGCAGCCCAATCAATGATGAAAACATCGGAGGTTTGCTCTGGACTAGGGCTGTATATAGCTGGTGGATCAGGCCTTGGCACACAGGAACTGGTAAGCAAGAAGCCTCCTGTTGATGTATGAATGAAACTTGTTGGTTGGTAAGCTTCAGAGGGTTTCTCTCTTAAGAGTTGTTTAGAGGGGCTGGGGATGTGGCTCAAGCGGTAGCTCACTCACCTGGCATGAGTACGGCCCAGGTTCCATCCTCAGCTCCGCATACAAACAAAGATGTTGTGTCTGCCGAAAACTAAAAAAATATTAAAAAAGATTCTCTCTCACTCTTTCTTTAAAAAAAAAAAAAAGAGTTCTTTAGAGAAGCAGAACCAATATGCTGTGTACATACAGATTTATTTTAAGGACTGGCTCACATGATTACTGAAGCCGATAGGCTGGAGACTCGGAAGAGCTGAGGGTGCAATCTTAGTCCTAAGGCAGTCTGCTGGAGAATTTTCTCTTGCCTGAAGAAAGCTGATCTTTTTATTCTATACAGATGTTCAACTGATTGGCTGCAACCCACTGACATTATGAAGGACAATCTGCTTTATACAATTCTATGGTTCAAGTGTCAACTTCATCCCAATAATGTCCTCATAGAAATATCCATAATAATGTGTGACCAAATATATAGGTACTTACGGCCAGTCTCATTGACACATAAAATTAACCACCATAGTGCCTAAGAGCGCCCTTAGCAGCTATGCCATAAAAGAGGAGAAATGAAACCCTCTCCTTGCAACATCCTTCCAACCCCCTCTACCCGCAGAGGTTAACATGGTGCTAGCTGGAGAAGGAGAAATGTACAGGTTGCTATGGTTTGAATGTGTTCCCCCCAAAACTGAGGCATTGCAATAAGATAGTATTAATAGTCTTATGATTGGGCCATGAGAGGTCTCCTTTATAAATGTGATTAGTGCTCTTACAAGAAAGAGGCTTCATGCCATGTGTGGCTATTTTGCCCTTCTGCCATATGAAAACACCAAATAGCCCTCACCAAAAAAGAAATACCAGCACCTTAGTCTCAGACTTCCCAGCTTCCAGAACTGAAAAATTTCTGTTCTTTATAAATTAAAATAATAAATGAGGGCTGGGGTTATGGCTCAGTGATAGAGCGCTTGCCTGGCACATGTGAAGTGCTGGGTTCCATCCTCAGCACCACATAAAAATAAACAAAGGTATTATGTCCATCTACAATGAAAACAACAACAAACCCCCCAAAAAACAAATAATTAAAGTATCTCCTTTTTGTATATCTAGTATGGCTAGTTCAGTGGTTTATCAAATTTCAGGATTAAAACTTACCTCCAAGTTGTTTTATTCAAATTTCACATAACTGATTAAATCATGTATAAGAAAAGAAATACTTGCAGCAGATATGTTTTGATGCATTTTAACCTTCAAGATTGTAAAGTTGCTGTTTATACTCTGGGGCGTTATAATCTAAGTGAATCTGGGGGAACATTTTAGTGGAAGATAATCTCATAAATATGCATGATTTTAAATTTAATAAATTATCAGAATATGATCATTATAATAAATTTGATGCCAGTTGTTAAATAATTATTTATGGGCAAGCATCAGTTTGTAAATTTTGCAAAGTGATGACAGGAAACACATAAAATCTACACTGAAAATGTGTAATGAGAGGCTTTGAGTTGTCAGAAGGAAGTGTGAAAGTGTTGGGTACTTGAATGATGGAAGAGTACAGGGGTCAAGGACACATGCATCATACTTTGAAACTTTACCAAGGGTCACTAAACCATGTTGCAAACTCTTGGTCTCCCTCTGCCACAGTTATTGTCAATTCTTTGTAACTCTGATGATGCTCTCCATAGTTCAGGTTTGAACTTTGCCTGTAAGAAACTACACATCCTGTACTGGTTTTGTAATGTAGCTTTAATCTTTAAAGAGATCAAAAAATAGACTCTATAGCTGAACACGGTGGCACATACCTGTAATCCCAGTGGCTTGGGAGGCTAAGGCAGGAGTTCAAAGCAAGTATCAGTAAAAGCAAGGCACTAAGCAACTCAGTGAGACCCTGTCTCTAAATAAAATACAAAAAATAGGGCTGGGGATGTGGCTCAGTGGTCCAGTGCCCCTGAGTTCAATCCCTGGTCCCCCATGCCCTCCCCTCATCCCCCCCTCAAAAAAAAAACAAAAAACACCACAGAGCCTGTAGTAGCCAGTGTTCAGCTGACTTATAGTAATGATAAAACACAGACTAATAATCCAATTACACTAAAGGAAAAGTGTCAGTTCTATTAGAAAATCTTGACACACAAACTGTTACAGCTATATCTGTATTAGTTTCATGAAAGTAATGACAGGAAAAAGATCAGAATTTAGTTTTTCACTAATTATTTTTTTAAATTTTTTTAGTTGAACATGGACACAGTATCTTTGTTTTACTTATTTACTAATTTTATGTGGTGCTGAGGATCGAACCCAGTGCCTCACATATGCAAGGCAAGTGCTCTACCACTGAGCCACAACCTTAGCCCCTCACTAATTATTAATAAAGCATGAATAAGACAATTTAGTCCATTAGTAAAATTTTGCTTTTTAATTTTAAGAAGTTCTTTACTTGTACTACCTAATTGAATAGAACATCAATTCTGCTAAGCAGATGGCATTACCTTCACTTAGTAGAGGACATAACTAGAGAGAGGTTTCAGTGGTTTGTCAAAATTTACACCAGATACTATCAGAAGTTTCAAATGCAGATTTTCTAGCTCCAGGTCCAATTTTATTTATAACACAGCAAACTGTAAATTAAACTAGCCAACTTTTCTTAACTTGAGGCCTATGAGTCCATTGAAAATGTGTACAACATTTTGGAGTGTGTGTGATGAAAGTAGTGGTGTGGAAATCTTTCTAATTATCAAAGGAATTCATGATCAAAAATGCTCAGAACCACTGACCAATTTCCTGTAAATTCTTGAAACAGAGATCATGTCTTATTCACAATTGTATCCCTAGCACTACTATAATGAAAGGTGGCAAGGACTCAATAAACGTGGTATGAATAACATGTCAAATAAATTACTTTTCTAATGTTATTTGTGTAACATTAAATCCTCAAATTTTCCTTTACATTAATAGCAGATATAGACATTCTATACATTATCCTAAATAATCAAAATAAACTTGCTAAAATTTTGATATAATAAGCATTTGAATTAGATCATCACTGTATTATATTAAGGGTTACAGGTGCCAAACAGCCCCTGAGGTAAAAAAAAAAAAAAAAAAAAAAAAAAAACAAAAAAAAATAAAAAGAAAAAAAAAAAAAATTAAACCCAAAGGAAAAAAAAAAAAAAAAAAAAAAAAAAGGTTTTCACATTGATAAAAGGTACAACCTACAGTATAAGAATCATGAATTTTAGATATTAACAAATTCTATAAAACAATTGATTTTAAATGAGGATAAATAGAGATGAAAATAGCAGGAGACAACCCAATACTATCAGATACAATATAGGCCAAGTACACACAAAAATATATGGATTTTATTTAAAATATAATTAAAAATACTAGATTTGGTCATGAATCCAATGCCATATATTGAAGTATAACTGTGCTTCTTTGTCTAGGATTCATGAGATATTTTCAAATATCTGTAATAAATAAAATTTCAATAATATCCAAAAGGAAAAAATTGCATAGGTTAATATTCTCTACTGCAAATTTATGACTGGAAAATTAATGCTGACAAACTAGGAAGACGTTCCAACTACCTAAAAAATTAATCTCTTTAAATTGAGGTTAGGATTATATGGAAAGCAACTCTATATAACTCTACTGTCTTTTATAAGTAACTCAAAATTTCACTTAATGGAGCTTAATGGAGTATTAAAGAAACTTAAATTAACAGCATCATGTATACATCTGAATCTTTATGCAGTATGAGAAAATACTTAGAAGTGAAATGTCAGCCAGCAAACATGGACTCTCTGGAAAGGGCACAAAAGTTAAGACAAGGGGCGAGAAATCCAAAAGGACTGGGTTCAAATCTGTCTCCAATGCTAACTGCCTTTAGTCATTTCATTTGTAAAATAGTAATTTAAACAAAAACTTTATAAATTTGTGATGGAATACAGCGTGTTCCAAAGTGCCTTGCTCACAATAAGCACTTAATACAGTGTACCCATCACTAGTAAAAACAGGATCCCGCTGGGGGAACACTAGTAATGTTTCCTTGATTAGATAACATCTGCTGCCCAAGAACTAGGACGTTCTTAACGTTAGACACAGACACTACTATGGCAGGGAAACTCTTTGAGCAACCGGCCATCCGCCTTCCGCGGAGCTAAGTGGCCCTTTCCACGTTTAGAAATGCTACAGCTGGAGGTGTTTAGTGTTGCTAAGCCCTCCTTTTGGGGGAAGAGAGCGGGACGAGTGTCCTGAGCCTCTTCACTAAACCGCACCGACTTCAGTTCCTGTCTCGCCTTACTAGCGGCCCCTGCTGGCCCTTACGTATGCAGTTCTCCCGGTGCTCAGCCCTTTCCTAGCCTAGATAGAGCGGCCTCAACAGGCCACCCCTTTACCGGCTACACTGCGTGGTCACTCGGCAGGATCACACCACTACATAGCTCTCGAAAGCTCTCTCGCCCACCTCCCCTTCTAGAGCACCGCGAGACTCTTAGCAAAGAGTTCAATCAAAATCCTGGGCTTATCTCCTATGGACAATGGGTCGCGTGTGACAATCTCCTGAGCGGTTCTGACCACTAGCACATGGTTGCCTCGGACTCCCGGCAACTTAAGTACAGGTGGAGAAGACCTGGATTTTCTTGCCCGCAGGAGACGTAGCGCCCGCCCGCTCTAGGACCCCCCACCCGCCGCCGTGTAGCTGACTTTAAAATGCAGCTAACCCACGGGAACTGCAGAGACTCCCGAACTTGGGCCGGGTCTTGGGTTTCGCCTCGCTTTGCCGCCTAACTTCCAACATCTAGCTGTGCTAGGTCACCTCTCACTCTAAACTTCAGCAAAGGAATAAAACATTCACACCCGGAAAGACTCTTAACGCGCCACACCTGAGTGGCACCTGGCGCTGAAAGGTTAGTGACGGCTTCTTCCCTTAACACACAGCGACCGCCTGCCTCTGCTCCTACCCGGTTGGTTACAACGCGAGGACCCGCCCCTGACGCTTCTATCCAATGGGAAGGGGCAAGTCGGCTCACCCTTATTTACATAGCAACCACTATATATACTCTGGGAGGGAG